CCTAGGACATGAGATCATACATGCATAATTGAGTTTTGTGGCCTATTTCTCACGTAATTGAAAAGGCTACAGTTACTGTGCAGGGGCTGTGCAATTGTAGAGTTGGTTGCATACGTGTAACTCTGCTTATGCAAGCTTGTGATCATGGGAAATTGAATGTGCTGCATGCATAATTCAGTCTTGCATGTAGAATCTGGGCTCCTTTCCCGTGTAGGCTACTTTGAATTATGCAAGCTTTGAATTAGAGAACAAAAGGGTCCTGATGACGCCATCCAAGAGGGTTATGATGCAATCTGATGCCCTGATGATGTAATCAAGGATGGGTAAGCTTCAGATAAGTTTATATAGCTTATTCCTCATCCATTTCACGCTTCTACTAGCTGATTCTTATACCTATGTTATTACTTTATGTATTATAAAATATGTACATAATGTATAAGAATAAATATTGTTTTAATACCTTGTTCTGAAGCTCCTCCTGTGAAATCCTAGTGATATTATCTGTACAATACTCAAGGGGATTTCACAGTTAATTATAGAATTATTAAATATAACTTATGAATTAAGATTAAATGTAAATACATATTTATTTATTTGTTATTTTAACAACAATGTATAATATTTTCCTGTATTCAATCAGTTATCATTATTTGCAGTTACTAGGTACATTTCACGTACTGTGAAAGGTGCTCTGTGGCTGACAGAGTGTTACCTACCAAAATCAATAAAAGAATAGTTATTTTACCTCCCTACAAGACCATCAAGCAAGTTACCCCGGACAACAAAACCGGAGTAGGACGTGTTGCGGAGCGGAGAAGTGCAAGAAATCTCCTAGGGCGCACCTTTCTTTCCACATCGGATCGAAAATGGACCCGATACCAGGTATCGGTATCGGATCGCTCCACCTGATCCCAGTTGCGGGGATTGGATCAAAAATGGACCCGATACCAGGTATCGGTATTGGGATCGCTCCACCTGATCCCAGTTGTCCAATACATTGGGATTGGATTGGGTGGAGCGATCCAATACCGATACCCGGTATCAGGTCCATTTTCAATCCGATCCCCAATAAATACCGATCCGGGGATTGGATCTGTTACATCCTTGGTCTGGATGAGAAGCGCTCACACTGCAAGAGGTTGTATATTCTAGAGACCTCAGGGAAAAGCACACAGAAAGCAGATAATTAATTTCATCTCAGGAACCTGAAGTATTTAAGCTATTAGAGCTGATGGGGCCATATTGTGGGACATAAGGTGGAATGCAAATTCATCTGGAGGCAAAAAAATAAAAGTGACAGGTGAAGGAGTGACCTAAGATGGGATGAAAGAGGAAGCACTAAAAAGTGTTGCATCACATTCTGAGAATGTGCGGTAAAATTTGATCACATTTAATGTTTCCACACATTCACAGAATGTGATACAGTCCTCTTAGTACTGAAGAGAGATAACACAACAGCAAAATTCCAACAAACATTATCACAGAATTTCAACAAATTTTGTTCTGATAAGTAAGCTTGGGGGCTTGTTGGCATCAAAGGGGGAAAAATGGACAAGATCTCCTACATCAGTTCTTGGAAAACATTTCCAAATCTAAATTTTGAAACTTATTTTAATTGCATCAATTTTTTCATCAGTGGTTGGATGGTGGAGAGTAAATTGACAAAGGTCTTTTGCCTTCTATTTAAATTTCAAAAGCTGTTTACAACTTTACATTAGTCTAGAATTTCTGTTATGGTATTTGAATGGGTTTGATAAGCATGGTGGCTTAAGAAGTTGAGTCAAACATATTACCACCTTATCGACAGATTTTTTTGTTCTTATTTAGCTGATTTATTGATTGTTTTGGTGTCTGGGCTCAATTTGCACATCAAATTGGTAAAATGACTGATTAAATAGCCTAATTTATGCTTGAAAGAGAGTGTGATGAAATTTCACAACTGAGCTTGAGAAGGGAGATTGACTGGAAAGAGGCTCAGCAGCAGAAGAAAATGGTCAAAGAGCTCAAAGAGGGGATATATTTTGTGGTGAAAAAGTGCTTGCAGATGGTTGTATTTATATCTTGAAGACCTTGGGGAAATTCACACAGAGAGTAGATGTCTTTCATTTCTATCTATGAAGCATTTTTATGTAGCTATAACAGTTAGTGGGACAGGTTGTGGGACAGAACATGGAGAGAAAGAAACAAGAGGCAGGGTGAAAGGAGATCATGGGAAGCAGAAGGGACAAAAGGGGGATTAGGAGATACCAAAATTCTAAGAAAGGGATTGTTTAAAGGCATGGATGATATGAGAGCCTGAAAATGGGCACAAGTGTATGAGTCATTGCAGCTGTATCCTGTAACTCTAAATGTGTACAGTGGGTAACCTGTTATTTTTGGCTGCTTTTTTTGAATTCCAGTGCTTCAAAGCACAATCTTGAAGTCACAAGAACAAAATTTGAAACTTTTTTTATTTTTATTTTTTCATATTCAGTCTCTGGGGCCTGTTGGGCATCACTTGACCATGTCTTATGATGTCAATCTTGTGCTTCGAAGCACTGGAATCCAGAACAAGTAGCCAGAAGCAACGGGGCATCCACTGTGCATATCCTGTCACATACATGCCATGAATCTCCACCTTGAAGTTGGTTTGAGATTTGTGTAAGAGCCGCGTCGTGGCTCTTCACTAGCTTCCTTAAATATACGTCGAGACAGGCACGAGCCTGGAGAGAATTTCTAGAACCTGTGTGTATTTTATTTCTAGCTCGATAGAAGTGAGTTGAGAGTTCTCTCAGTACAAAACCTGATTCATGAAGAAAGCTGAAAGAGAAAGGAAAAGATGAAATAGAACAACATGAATAATGAAAATGACTTACCTAGCTCGATAGAAGTGAGTTGAGAGTTCTCTACCGAGCTAGGAGGGGGAAGACTGAACAGTGTTGAAGTAGTCCGATGAGATAACTGCTTATGTAATCTAATTAGTGATTGGCCTTGTGAAACCTGTGTGCGGCGAGGTTTCACAATTTGTGCCTTGTGCATTCCTCATCTTGCAATTTAACATCAAAAATCAGAACCCACAAGATCCTTAATCTCTCTCCCCAGAATACCCCTGACAGCAAATGAACTTACCGAAATATGCCAAGGACTTTGCCCAAAGTCCTGAAGGGACTTATTTTGTGAAAGGAATTCTTGTGGTCAACTTTCAGATACTGGGCATCATCTTCCCTTTTATTACTCCTACCTTGTACACAGCTGAAATTTATTTCTCATTGTTTGCCTTTCCTGTTCCACATTCATGTTGTCAATTCCCCACATTTTTCAAGAAAGTGACCAAATGAACTTTCATCACTGTTGTATGATAGTCTTCAATCATGAAAATTAAAAAATTGGCCTAGTTTTGTATATGCCCAAAGCTTGAGTGTTTTGATTGCCAATAAGAACAAATTGAGGCTAGCAAGTTTTTACTCATACTGGTACAGAAATTTAAAGTAACATTGTGAAGCAATGATAATATTTCTGATTATCTTGATCCTGGGCAAAAAAACAAATGATTTGAAATATGATTACTTGCGTGACCTTTAGCAGCACAGTAGGCAAGCAACTGAAATTCTAACAGGAGCAACATCACCAGTACAAATCAAAAAGCTTCTTGGTTCTTATTGCAATGGAAAACAAGGAAGGTTGTCTGAAGGGATTGAGCAGAGACATTGAGGTGCTTGAATTGTCTCAGGAATCTAACATAAAATCAAAATTGTAACTGAGACAAGAGATTTTGCACATGAGTTGAGGAGATCTCTTTGGGTTGTTGTAGGTCAATCAAGTTGGATGCATGTGTGATGTGAAGGAGAATAATTGGTAGTAAGAATGGAGGGAGTGGAGATCAGGATAAAAAAACTTGAGAGAGAAGAAAAGACACTTGGGGTGTAAAAACTGTAATGTGGGGCTTTGTGTCAGTTGTATCACAGAACAGGTGTGAGATGATCAACCTTGCACGGTAATTCAAGTATCCAGAGATAAAAATTTGGATCCAATGTTTTTGATATTTTTTTGAAACAAGATGGGGATCTGAGGGGCTCAGGTTTTATTACAAGGAAGAAAATATGCTGGGGGGTAACCTCACAAAAAGCTAGAATGATGAGGATTTTTTAGGTTGAGTTCTGGGTGTTTTGAAGTTGGACACCACCAAAACTCAGAAAACTCTTAACCAAGAATTCTTGGTAAGGCATAAATCCCCCCCAAACTAACCTTTGGGAAAAGTACTTGGTGGACTTTGTTAGGTTTTAACAACAATTGAGATGAGGAGAAAACACAAGAGAAAAATATGCACCTATGTATGTGCAAGTATAATGTCAAAATATGAGTGATTACAAGAAAGAGAAAGGATAGAGAAAGAAAGAGAAGAGAAGAAAGTAATCCGGAAAACCATAAGATCACAAGATTGAGCAAAGGAAAATTTCATGTGAGCCTGTTCAAGATGCAAGTGAGATGAGAAGAAAAGAGGCAGCACTTCATTAGGTATGATTTGATTGCTTGTGTGCTTCAAATTAATAAGATGTTGATTCCGATTCCCAAAATGCCATTGTGATTTCCTCAAATCTTAAAAGTCAGTTGTATAGCTGTGTCTGACAACTACTGATAGCAGCAATAGGATGCATACTGTGGTGGCCTACTTGGATAATCCATAAGAGACCTAATCTCATGAGTTACAAAATTCATGTTTCTGGTGCTTGTAGCTTCCATTCTGCATTCTCTTATGTGGGGGGTTCATTCAGCTTCATTTTGACCCCTCATCTCTCTTTCCTCTACATGATTCCAAGAAACAAAATACCATTCCATATCATGAGGATCATCCGTACAATAGGTTTAGTTAGAGCTACTGGAACTGAGGGGGTTTACATTGGATTTAACAGGACTGAGAGCGATATCGCCTTTGGCGTTCATGAAGCGGGCATAAAATGTGATAAAAAGAAGGGAATCATAAAGCACTACCTATGGGAAACTGGCACAAACTTATTGTAAGAATCGGAACTATCAAAGCAAATTTTAATTTTAAAGTGGGTCCATGAGGCCTCACAAAGACGCGACTTGGTCAATTAGTCAGGGTGTTCATTATCTAACGCTTGGGGACATCTTCAGATGACGGGTTTGCGCTAGAATGGAGTGAATCGCATTATCGAACGCGAGTTTATCCCATGACGATGCCGGCGATTGATGAGGGGGCTCGGCTTCGAGGGGCATCTACCGGGGCCTGGGAGCCGGCTTCAGCCGTTCTTTCTGTTAAACTCGAAGATTTTTATGATATCAGTGAGGTAGCCCTAAAAGAAGAAAGAAAAAGGATTACTTACCGAGCCACACACCAACTTTAGCAGAATGAGTCACCGGATGAGCCCATTCGCCCGCATCCATTCCTGCCATCTTGCTCGTCGACGGCCCGGCAACCGCGAGGTTATTGGGATTGGCCGGATCCTCTTCGATTTGATGGTTACTGAAGACCGAAAACCCGTCGATTCCTGCAGTAATTTCGGCCAATTGATCAGGATCCGTAGCCTTCCCCTTGCCCTTTCCCTTACGCCCAACCGCTTTCCCGGTCGACATTTTGCGGGCAGTGCTACCGCTTCCCTTTCGCGAAGTTCCAGTCACGAGGGGTGTCCGGTGACCTCCTTTCCCCCGAAGGCTACTACCGGCTCTAGAGCGTGTGTTGCGCGAGGGTCCCTCGTTTGGACCTTGGAGTATAGCATCAGCCAAGGTGCGCTGGCCCAAGCCAAGCGGATCGGAAACCCGGCTACGTTTGGGAGTAGGCACGTCACCAGCGGCAGCGACTTTATTTTCTTTATTGGGTTGGTTGTTGACTGCTGTCTCAGGTGTGGGTTGGGCTTTCGGTTCTGGTTGGGTCCCATTAGGTTCTTCCTCGGAGACGTGGTCTTCGTCCATTGTTTTCTCACGTGGACGCTTGACGTTACCACCAAATCGACGCTCAATGAAATTGGGATCCCCCTCGAATTCGCAAAACAAATCTTCCTCGCCGTTTTTGACTAACGCTTTCCCCTTCATCCAGGTCATGGAGCCGTTAAAGTAGGTGACCCTACTCTTGATGGGACCTAGGAAATGGTGAGAGTCGATATCTCGGCGGTTTCGGCCCATGAACGCATTATGAGCGTTGGATGATTTCTGAATTTAGATTGAAAAAGAAACCAAATTAGCAAGGAAGGGCATAAAAGCAAAATTATTTGACTAACCGATGAAGACTTTGTAAAACCCATTTGGTCAAGCTTCTTGCTTTAAGGTGGGTCAAGTTTCTTGCTTTAAGGTGTGGAGGGACGTAACTCGAAGATAACCGTGATTGCTATTACGATGACGCAGGTGATGCGCTTACTGAGGAACTTCTTGACTGTATAAGTGAGATGACAGAAGGGACACCGGCTGGGATGCTAAGAAACCTGAAAACAACTGGTTGAAGGAACACGCTTGGGGAAACTACAAATGATAGAGCGCTGTCACCTTTTTGTCTGATGTTTGGATGAAGACTTGGAAGGGGCAGGGATGGCTGGAGTGACTTGGAAGTGCCACCTATAGGATCGATGGAACCGATCAAACTCCCCGAAGAATCATCAGGAAGACTTGGTCCAGGCTGGCTGCAGAACTTCCTGGGCAAGTCAGAGTACATATTTTAGTGGTTCGTTAGCGTTCTACATTCTTATGTACAATATAAACCGATAGAAACTGTACATGATCTTGGAGGCAAACGCGTTGTCAATACAGTCACCGGCAGTATCTAATTTAAACCAGCCGATTGTAGCAGATTGTAGCATGGACCACCCCAGAATCAACAAGGGTTGTTTGGGCAAACAAAATGTACATTACCCCCCCCCCCCCCCCTGGCTTGGTCCAGCCGGTCCATCATTCAGACAAATCACGCCCGACGGGCCCACATATGTAAATAATTGACCCACCGATGGGGAAATGTTATGTCTTGAATTTCAATGCATGTTGTTGGCGGACGAATTAGCATTGCGCGCTTGCAAGCATCCGTCTCCTGAAGGATTTCTTGACCTTGCAGTTGGTTATTATGACCCCCGCAGAAGAATCAGAGTTCTCCTTTTGACTCTTCAAAGATGCACCACATCTCCACGCGCAGGAACTGTCAGCATGAAGTAGCTGGACAACCCGGTTGAACGCCTTCATATCCGGGTGGTTGTACATCGCTGCTCAAGCAATGATGGTCAGAAACAATTTGAATAGTCTGACAAGCCCACCGATGACTGCTTAAGCAGTGAGGCATCTGCGGTGCAAACCTCCCTGTTCATCAGGTTTAGTCGACTCCATAACTACCCAAGTAACCAATCTTGGTGGATGCTTTGTTAAAACTCTGACCTCAGATAGCGTCTTGAAACTACAATTTCGTCAGTGCTCACATGTGCTCTGTATTTGTTTTATCAATGATCAATTTTCCCCCTGAAATGAGTCATGTATGGAGCACATCGTTTGAAAAGCCCAATCATACGTACATAGCCTGATCAGAATTTTCCCTTGAGACGCATTGTGTATGCTTTCCAGCATGGTTATCCTTTTCCTTTAGCTTGGACCCCATTCTTCACACTCACGAGACTTGATCGGATTGGTTGGAATCTTGGATTTCACTTTAACTCTAGTACAATGCGATATTCAAATTGCTAATTATGGTTGTTGTTTGGGGCCAGGATGTGGGTAGTGGGAGCCGCTTCCCAGTTGGTTGATTAAATTGCACAACAAAGGACTCCAAGCTATGTACTAACTTTCTGTTTTAAGGTGACTGCCTCTTGCTGTAAAGCTTCCATCTCGAGTTTCAGATTGATGTTAGTAATTTCAAGAGAAATGTTTGTGGAGACCAAGTTTTGCCACTTTTGAGCTAGATCGGTCAACCTGTCTCCTACATCGGTCTGCAATATCGATTGGAGTCAATAGATGTGTGTCAGCATGGTGCTTTGAGGGTGCATCAGGAATATAAAGCATACCTGGTGGGCTTTTCGACGACGGTTAACGTCATCGATTTCGTTTTTGTAGTGATCCACTAGCTTGTCGAGTTTAGAGATTTCCTGATCAACTAAAAAGTTCGATAGTTTCCAATGGTTGGCGCCATGTTTACCAATCAGATCCAGATTGATCAGACGCAGTCGCTGATGTTCCAGCTGAGATTTGGCGTTTGACAATGCATCCTCCCAATCTTTCAGACTAGTGTGATCATCGGGATAGGGAATATTGAATCGCTCGATATCTAGGGAATCTTTCGAACCGTCGGATTGGTAGTTAGGATCCGATTTATCTGCTAGCCTGGACGGTCTTGTTGACGATGCAAGTAGATCTGGGAACTCGGACAAGAAAGGGTGATAGGTAGGCGTCTGATCTGTATTGGAAGGTGGTTGAGGTGTTGATTTTAATTCAAGTTCGATTTCTCGCTCGATCCTCTGGCGGAGGTTGGGAATCACATCGAGATCGCGATCATAGTCTGTTGAATTTTTCAACAAATCACAAGGAGATCAGTTATCAAGGCTGTTTGGTTCGGTTGATTAGAATTAACTTACAAGGTAACGAGTCGATGGTGGCCATGATTTTTATTTGATTTCTTTCGAGATGACTGGCCAGCTGATGATGATTTTGGACAAATAGGTCGACGCCGAACCAGCCACGCTAGTACATACTCCCCGGGGCCCCGGCCCTTGACCCCGCGAGGCGAGTTCAGCACGAGGTGGGGCAAGGCCCGCAGGAGAGCCCCTGTCAGACACACATGAAAATGCAGCAAAACCGGGGTTTTTTCCACAAAGGATACTGATGAGAAATGAAAATTTGGTAGACATTTTGGGAAATTTCAGTTTTTCTTTCCAAGATCATCCCTAGGACAATCTACATATTGTGTTTCCAAGAAAGCTTGGATCCGTTTGCTTTTTGAATTTTTTGTAATCCTTTGAATTTGATTTTGCTAATCCCATATTTTTATTTTCTCAGTTGGGTTTTATCTTGACAGATGTCAGATAACACCCAGGGATAAAGCCACCTCCGGAGCCATGTTGCTCCAGTAGATGCTCTTGGAGGAGAATTAAGAAAAAATGAGGTTCATATTTGGAACCAGAGCAGTTTGTAGGTCTAACCAGCCGCTCACTGGGACCACCGGTCACTCCCTTCTACCCCATCAGTGATGCCGACCAAGCACTGGACCGTTGCATGAGCTGAGAAAAAAGTTGAAAGCCCTGGGACACCTGAGGCAGAAACATATTTGAAATTAATAAAGCAGAAAGGTAAATCCATAAATTGCAAGGATTACAGAAAATTCAAAAAGCAAACCGATCCAAGCTTTCTTGGAAACACAATATCTACATTAAGACTTTACTATTAAACCCATCTCCCCCCGGCCCTAACCCCCGATTGCTTCTAGACTACCCACAATCCCTGTTTTATCTCGCAGGCTGACGCCTGGATCGGTGGCTTAATGGCGATAGAGCCGAGCAAAAGCCAACCAATGGGGGACAATTCCACTCATAAGACCCTCACTTTTTATACCCTCACCCTTGTGATTCCAATAGGCCGGAAATGGGAACTCCAGCCAACATTAACTGGCCCATGAGTCAACCATAGCTACTGACAATGATTCACAAAAGCCTTGCAATTCCCATTGCCTACCCCACCCCCACAGCCATGTTTCCTTTTAACCCTCACCATTTATAGCCTGACGACCGTAATTTCAATAAGCCGGAACAGGGAACTCAATGTGACCTTAACCCCCCAACATTCAAATATTACTACTCACAACAAGTCACAAAAATCTGGTAATCTTACCATTTCCTAATCCAACCCCACAGACATGTATCCTGTTTCTTACACTCCAGTCTCCCTCCTGGAATACATCCCCAGTGGCTGACTTTATTCTCCTCAAGTTGTGGCCTTTCGGTCCTCAGGCCAACTACTTAAACTGTCACTCTTTCCCTTTAACTCCAAGCCTTCCTCACACTTCACCCCATCATCTCAAATTTTTAATATGCCACCATTAAATCACTTATTGCTTGTCCTGACCCACTATACATTAACCGCATCTTTGCCTGTCTCTCACCTTAGACTCATACATACCACCACTATCCATTATTCTCTGCTTTATCCTCCCCAACAATTCATCCCCCCTTCCCAGATTAAGCCTTAGCAAGAGGGACAGGATCAAAGAGGAGGCAATAATAGTACCAGGTCGTAGGGTATATTTCAGTGGAAGGCTCATGGAACAGGCCAGAGGAGACAAGGCAAGAGCTGAAATGAGTCCCTTCATATTCTATGATGTGAATTATAGCTGACTTAAAATGGTTTTAGGTATGCATAATTTTATCGGGAAGGATTGGAGAGATGACGGAAGATGGATAGAGGATAATTTCAATTGAATTTAGGCTATAAGTCCAGGTTCAAGAGCCTAAAAGGGGGAGGAAATGAATGTATTCATTAGGGGGTATCAAATATAGGAAATCCACCATCAGAAACCAGTCACTTTTCCAAAAACTTTTTTTGCATAAATGGGCCCCAAAAGGGTTTAAATGGATAACCAACATGTTTAAAAAAAGGTGGATTTTCTCAAACCAGTCAATCAAATAATGGTGGATTTGGTTATATTTGATACCCCCTATTGATATTTTAAATGGAGTGGTGTAAACGCAACAACTTGCAATCAATGATTTGCTGTCAAATTTTAATCTCCAAATCGTGTTAATTTACACTTTGTAATTTTATTTTTGGCCATAGACAGATTGTTTAAATCAAAAAAATTGGCATATAATCATTATTGGCTGGTTGAATAGCTTATGGATAGAGGTGGCAGAGCGTACAAATTCATTCAAGATGAGGTTGGGTGATAGGTTATGATAAAAATAGGCTCTAAAGCAAAGTAGGCATGGAACACTTATGGAGTAAGAAATTTATGACTGAGGTCAAATAACTTTTACTTAGACTGGGAGTCAGTTGGGGCTAGAAGCTAGAGCATTAGTAGGGGCGGCAAAGCCGCCCTGAAACCCTAGTATAACTAAAAGAATGGGCTCAGAGATCCAAACAAAGTGTCATGCAATCTAACACCGGCATCGACATCTGATTCAAATTTGTTGACACCAACGTTAGACTGAGACAGGTGCCCAGCTCAAGCAACACCCCCCAAAGGGGCAAAAGGTCATCAAAAGTCAAGCAACACCGTACAACGGGGCAAAAGGTCATCAAAATATCACCAAGTCCAACTCCCCAAAATTAGGGGCAAATACTAGTTTGAGACAAAAAAAAAACAGAAAAGAAGGCATAAAAATGCCAAGAATCAGTGGGAAATAAAATTGTAAAATGAACACCCATGTTAATGGTATCTAAGCTGCATTTAGAGATGTCACTTGGTACCCGGGTACCCGCAGCGGGTGCGGGTAACAGCCGCCTCAAAAATCCCATTTTTTGGAGACTTGCACCCGCCAGGTCTGCCAGGGCGGGTACCTGCGGTTGTGGGAGAGTCTATAGGCTTCATTGACCGGAAGGAATTCCTTCCGGTGTGGTGTTCTAAACGGTACAGGCCCCCTCAAGGTCAAATTTCAACTTTTCAATATCATCAAGCCTCAAAATCTCAATATTATTGCCTCAAATCCCCTCTCAGTCCAACAGTTTCCTTCATTATATTGTTTTGCTATGTTTTGTTTCCTTTTATTATTTCATTTCCTCTGATTATTTTATCTTCATATTATTTTTCATTCATCTTGATTTTATTTTTTTATCATTTTATTATTCTTACTTATCTTTTTCAAATCACCTACTCAGTAGACAGTCTTGTTTAATTTTCTTGGTCCTAAGACATCTCAGGATGTTGGTTTATTTCACTCTTGATTATTTTGTTTTGTTTTGTTTTGTTTTGTTTTGTTTTGTTTTGTTCTGTTTTGTTTTGTTCTGTTCTGTTCTGTTCTGTTCTGTTCTGTTCTGTTCTGTGTTGTGTTGTGTTGTGTTGTGTTGTGTAGTGTTGTGTACACCCCAGGGGCACTTCTTGCCGAGCGGGATTGTGGAACCGAAAAAACTTGGCCGATCTGTGGAACCGACGAGATCAGCTCTGTAAGTCTTTGGTAAGGACTGATTTTGTCGTCGGTTCCACGAAGCAAGCTTTTTTTCGTCGTCGATTCCACGAACCCAAGTCCGAGCCGATGTGGAGCAGGTGGGCTCGTTGCCCACGTTGATTCCACGACGGCCGACCATCAATCCACATACAACCAGGACCCACCAATGTGGGTCCTGACAGTCTGAAAACTCGAGAAAACCGAGTGTTGAAAAAAAAAAAGAAAAAAAAAAAAGAAAAAGAAAGAAAAACTTTACTTTTTTTTGGGGGGGGGAGTGAAACAAATGATCACTCCGAGCCGATCTAATCTCGGAAGGAGGAGAGTATTTCAAGACTGCTTGGACCAACGGTGGAGAATCCTCCTGCAGGCTCGGCCTCAGTCCACTGCCGGAGTTCGACTCCGTGTGCGCTCCTTTTTGGGGCCGCTGTCGATTCTCTATCTGCGGCGCTGCTAGCTTCCTTGTCGGCTCCACCGGATGACCTCGGGATGGACCCGTGGAATGACATGTGGAGTCCACACAAAACTGTGGACCGTCAGGAGTTGGTCCGACCCGCCGCAGTGGTCACTCGTGGAATCCACCGAAAAAATCGGTGTCCGCCCACGTCGAACTGCGCCCAAGGTGTAGTGTGGTCTTGTTTTTGTTTTTTGGTTGAGTTGTGTTGTACACCCCAGGGGCACTTCTTGCCGAGCGGGATTGTGGAACCGAAAAAACTTGGCCAATCTGTGGAACCGACGAGATCAGCTCTGTAAGTCTTTGGTAAGGACTGATTTTGTTGTCGGTTCCACGAAGCAAGCTTTTTTTTGTCGTCAATTCCACGAACCCAAGTCCGAGCCGATGTGGAGCAGGTGGGCTCGTTGCCCACGTTGATTCCACGACGGCCGACCATCAATCCACATACAACCAGGACCCACCAATGTGGGTCCTGACAGTCTGAAAACTCGAGAAAACCGAGTGTTGAAAAAAAAAAAGAAAAAAAAAAAAGAAAAAGAAAGAAAAACTTTACTTTTTTTTTGGGGGGGGGAGTGAAACAAATGATCACTCCGAGCCGATCTAATCTCGGAAGGAGGAGAGTATTTCAAGACTGCTTGGACCAACGGTGGAGCATCCTCCTGCAGGCTCGGCCTCAGTCCACTGCCGGAGTTCGACTCCGTGTGCGCTCCTTTTTGGGGCCGCTGTCGATTCTCTATCTGCGGCGCTGCTAGCTTCCTCGTCGGCTCCACCGGATGACCTCGGGATGGACCCGTGGAATGACATGTGGAGTCCACGCAAAACTGTGGACCGTCAGGAGTTGGTCCGACCCGCCGCAGTGGTCACTCGTGGAATCCACCGAAAAAATCGGTGTCCGCCCATGTCGAACTGCGCCCGAGGTGTAGTTAGGGATGTGATGACATGTCTGTGACATGTCACTCCCCAGAGTCAAAGTTCAGCTTGAAATGAGATGATGGGGAGCCATGGCACTCTGATCTGATCCAAGATAGACCCATCAATTCTGATTGATCTTTTCATTATTAATCCATCTGATCCTCATACACACCAATCCTCAAGCTCAACAACCGCCACAGAACTCCACTTCTGTTGTCTCCTCTTAGAAAACCAGCCAACC